CCTGCCTCTACCGAATAATCCTCATGGAGAGTAACAGTAAGGACATTAGCAACAGCAGGAATTGCATTAAAGGTAGCAGCCGCAGCAGTAAAAACAGCAGAAATGACAGGAGCCGAAGCACAATCAGCAGCAATTACAGTGAAAACAGCAGGATTATCAGCAGGAACAGCAACCACACAATCAGCAGTAATAATAGTAGAAGCAGCAAGAAAAGCAGGAGCAGCAGCAGCAATAGCAACAGCAATAGCAGCAGCAGCAGTAGTAGTAGAAACAACAACAGTAACGGCAGGAACAACAATAGCAGCAGCATCAGAAACAGCAATATCCGCAGCAGCGGTAGCTAACTCTTGAGAGGAAGAGGAAGCGGGTAAGCTGCCAGTCTGTCTCCCTTAGGAGGAGAAGGAAGAAGAAGAGGTGGAAGAATAAGAGGAAGAGGAGGAGGGGTACGAAAGTTGTAGAGAGGCGAAAATGTCCAATATTTAGAGTGACAAGTAATAGCGGGAGTCCTCGCACGAGATGAGCAACTGTTGGCAGGTCAGGATACTTTTACTAGGACAGTCTGAAGGTGCAGGATGGAAGGACTCAGGAGGGTAGTTCTGACTGAAGGATATAGATGGAGGGAGGAGGATGAGGACAAAAGAGGGTGCAGGATGGACGTTCATCTTCATGATTATTATTATTATTATTATTATTATTATTATTATTATTATTATTATTATTATTATTATTAATTTCTACTTGTCTTCAATTATGAATGCTTTGAACCTTCTATCACATCAATACGTCCTACCTCCTCTCTTCTTCACTTCTCAGGTTATCACAATCCCTCTCTACCTCACTCAAATATGTCTCATTCCACTCTTCTCCTCTTCTTCCTTTTCCTCCTCCTCTTCCCGAGTCTCCAGGACTGGAGTGTTGATGGCATCATTAACCAGACGAGGTTCATCCCCATGGTTAAACCTCTGGGGATGTAGTGGATGGGAAAGTTGGGAGCTGGGGGTAGGTAGATCGGGAGTCGCGGGCACGTAGGTCGGCGGGAGTCGCGGTTATGTAGGTCGGGAGACACAAGTGGGAATTTGGAGAAACTCGCTTTGTTAAAATCCCAAGTCAGGACTCCCTCTGTGCTCTACTTTACAGCCAGGAGTTAGTGCCCCTCTGTGTGTCCTTTGTCAGCTGTCATCCCTCTTAAGGGTACGTATAATTTTTATGTAACCTTCGTGATTCTCCATTATATATATATATATATATATATATAATATATATATATATATATATATATATATATATATATATATATATATCCAAAAATATGTCGGGCCGAATATGTAAAACTTGCGATTTTTACTTAAATAGCAACGAAAAAAAATATTTCGTTGTGGTTGTTTATTAAATTATTGTAAACTTATCTAAAATATATTTAGTTGGATTACGCTAAATTAAAATACTCTTGTTATAATAAGGTTAGGTAAGTTTTCTAAGGTTCTTTTGGTATAAAACTATTAATTTTTACATTAACATAAATGAAATAAGAAAGTAATTAATTTTAAATGAGTTCTTGCTAATTGACCAATTTTATCTATTCGGCACGACACACACACACATTATATATATATATATATATATATATATATATATATATATATATATATATATATATATATATATATATATATATATATATCCTCGGTTACGGAAGTCCAGCTGATAGTGTGCTCTTTGTTTCAAGGAATCCCTCATTAATCAGTATTATTTTCAATGAATCGAGAATCTCTGTTATCCTGTTTAAGGGTAATAGCTTCACGAATCTGACAACAATTACTGAATAATATATTTTTTTTCTGGTATGTCTATCACTAAATCAATCCCACTGTTGAATATATAATCAAATTTTCTTTGTTGGAAGATCTCGAAATCTAGTTTCTTTGAACATTAAAGAGCTCGTTACAATAATACTATAAAATTCGGACAAATAAGAGTAAGATACATGTACTTTGTTCGGGTTTCAATATTATGGAGACGTTTTGCTAAACATTGGTTGTATCAGTTCAACACTCTTAACCTGGAGACAGTAGAAATTGAGGTAATCAGTCCCTCAGTCCTTGCACAAGTGTCTCATTCATCTACTTGCAAAGCTACACTTATGGTGCTATAGAAATGATCTCAGGGAAAATTTTATCGAACGAAATTCCGAGCCTCCACTACTTGTACTGAATGGTTCAAACGGGTTTAACGCCTTAAGGAATACAAGCAAAATACCTTCAAAAAGCAGAAGGCAGATTCTAAGAGCCTCTTTGCAAGCAAATTTTAGCTCGCAGTTGCCAAATGTTGCCCATTCTGATGTAATTTGCTGAAAGTGTTTTGAAATAAGTATATTCGAAGGCTAGAAACAGCCTCCTGCTGGAGGAACCGTTCATGATCGTCATATCAGGTTCCAGTATTCCAAGTCTTAGGAAAATGAAGGATGATATGGAGATGGAGGCGGAGATGATGAATGAGTTAGAGATGAAAGAAGCTGTAAAAGAATTATAGGAGAACTGAAGGAGATTTTTCTTCAAAACGTGCTGCCAGATTGACACGTAATATAACAGACGAAAAAACGATATAAACTTAAACTGTTTACTTTCACCCACCGGCTCTGAGCCCTTCAATGGGTACATAAAACTTGGTAGTGAATCTGTCTCGCGATTAACGAAGGAGGATCAACCCTCCACTACTCTGTGCACTACATTACCTGCACAGGTTAAGTCAATAAATAAATGTAAATGAATTCCGCTGCAGAGTACCATTATCATCATCATTACAGAGTCTGGTGAATTTCCTCATGCTGAAGGTTCCTGATGAATACTGCATATTGCAAGCAACATGTTGCTAATGACTTAACTCCAATGCAAAAATTATGCACGTGAATTTTGGAGCAGTCATATACCGAGTCAGATAACAGAACAAAAGAGCAGGTAATTAATATGCAAATATTAATATGATTAGTTTCATTGCAAGAAAATATTAGTATAGTTTAATTATCATAACTTAATGAGGTAATTAATTCTATCCGAAATTAAAATGTCTGTCTGTATGTACGTATTTATGCATGTGTGTATGTTATAAGATCACAGTAAACATGTAATATCACAATACGCAAAATAACTACAGTGCAAAAAAAATACTGAATTTCTAAGCGTTTTAGTGATTTTTCTCATTTTCAAGGAAATAATGTGAGAAATCACGAAACTACTTGGAATATCATTATTTTCTCACTCTTATCTTCATGGGGAAATGGAAAAGAATTCTTCCTCCGTAAGCCATGTGTGTCGTAAGAGGCTACTAAAATGTAGGGAGCAAAGGGCTAGTAACCCCTTCTGTATAAATTACTACATTTAAAAAGAAAAACTTTCGTTTTTTCTTTTAACGTCATCCTGACTTGGTGGGATACGGCCAGTTTGTTTCTTGAATACGTGTCTTGAATATATATATATATATATTCAACACGTCGGCCGTCTCCCACCAAGGCAGAGTGACCCAAAAAAGAAACACTTTCACCATCATTCACACATAATCACTGTCTTTGCAGAGGCGCTCAGATATGGCTGATTAGATGTCACTCCAAACATCCAATATCCCAAGCCCCCTCCTTTAAAGTGAGGCATTGTAATTCCCACCTCCAAGAGTTAAGTCCGGCCAACCGGTTTCCTTGAATCCCTTCACAAAATATTACCCTGCTCACACTCCAACAGCTCGTCACGTCATAAAAACCATTCATATCCATTCACTCCTAACACGCTCACACTGCATGTCCAGGACCCTTGCACACAAAACCTCTTTTACCCCTTCCCATCATCCATTCCTAGGACGACCACCTCCCCTTCCTCCCCTTAAATACAGATTTATACACTCTCCAAGCCATTCTGTTTTGCTCCAACCTCTCTAAATGATCAAACCACGTCAATAACCCACACAAACACACGCGCGTACATACACACCCCCACACGGAGCCAGGAGCTGTGAGTCGACCCCTCTAACCACAAATGGGCGAGTATACACACACACACACACACACACACACACACACACACACACACACACATGCACACCCACACAACGGTATATATTGGCGTTTTTTCATTCCGGATACAAGGCAAAGGGCGGATGATAGAGAATATTTTTGTCTTTGTTCGGAAATTACCACTTTATATCACTTATCTCAAAGTGATATTACAGGGAAACAAGGAAACAAGACGCGACGATAATCATCAACGATAAACGAAATTTACAAATATTCCAAATTATTTCTCGGTGAAGAAACAACTTTATATGTTACCGACCAGGACCTTCAAATGTATATCGATGCTATTTTCTTGTCACACAGGATAACGGACGATACTGAAAACTACGCTTAAAAAAAAAAAAAAAAAAAAAAAAGTGGAACTCACTGGAAATTTACACATTTTTGTAGTCTATTTCATCCTCGTTTCATTTTCCTTACTGCAAAATTCTGTGATGTACTAAATGGACCACGGAAAAATAAAGAATGATATATCATATGAATATATTTTAATGTAGACTAAATGAAGCAATACACGTTATTTTGTGATAATATTCTCTATAATATGACATAATAATAAAAACAAAACATGGTACATTATATTACGTCTTTATTCTTACGTGACTTCTTTATCAGTCTTGTGTGACTCACCTTTTCTTCCTTCATTCTCTCTTTATTATGTTTTCTTTCATAACGCTTTCACACACACACACACACACACACACACACACACACACGTTTAGGAGTTTAGGAGCCAGAAAAGTATAAGAAAATACAAGAAAAAAGCGTTTAAATTCGAGGAAATTAATAAGAAAGGGATGATAAAGAAATGCGAACACATTGTGAAACACAGGAAAATTTAAGAGAATATTCCAGGTCAAAAATCAACAAGGAAACTGTGGATAATACGTGACCAAAGAAAAGGTAAAATAATAGAAAAGTATATAGGAAATGTGCTTACCCATCCAGGTGCTATTAGTGATAATTTGAAGGATCTTGGCTGGATCCATGGTGAAGGCTGCTGCTATTTTGACGCGCTGGTTCTTACAGGTAAGTCTCACAGGCAGTACCCGCAGGTGCTACCCACAGGAAATACCCACAGGCACTGCCCACAGGCACTATGAACCGACACTATCCACAAGTACTATCCAGTATCACTTTCTAGGATCAGTAACACCAGTGCTTCTGCTCACAAGATCTTTTCCGACGTCAGTGTACAAAATCATTTCTTCTCGTTATCTTATTTATAGTTTTCAGTCACAGTTATCTTCAATGTCAATGCAAAAGTTTTAAATTTTTACCTCTCGATGAGTTTTACATTTGAGAATTATAAATATTTCAATTCTTTGATTCCCATTTTCAGTCAGTCACTACGCGTTGAATTCCGAATTTGCTACAGTGTATTTTCCAGATGCACTATTGTTCTAAGATTATTTTATTTGTCTCTTTCTTCGTGGATTGTTAAATTTAATGACACTTGGTTTTTGTTTATTTTCCAAAAGCACTGAAATATAGACTTATAATCTATTCAATACTCACAAGTATGATAGTGTCCATGGGCTCTACGTTATCTAAATATTTATATTATGGAAATTTGAATGATTTTTATTGGAAAAAAAATGTTTTCTAGTAATGAAATACATTAGTCCTGATCGTCAACGAAGAGGGCTTTATTTTTTTCTGAAAACAAGTATTTCACGATTAATATGCGGCAACAGTGAAGTAAGAAATGGAAAGTAACAGTCAAGAAAAAACAGATACGAACAATACATATGTTTGCCTTGGTTACTAAAAAAGGCGTTTATAAACTAATTGCTTTTAATGGGCTAGGGCTTCCCAGGAGACAAATGTTCTCACTTGCAGTGATGTGTCAACTAACTCGCGGGACTAGATATTGTATGTTCGTTCACTTGCTTATACCTAATCTGAAATATCGTTTTCTCAGCCAGAATCTAATTAAGGGCTACTGGGTGGCAGCAACAACTGCAAAACTTGAGTATTTTATAACAGTTACGGCATCATTACCAACAAAAGCAGCAGCAGCAACAACACTAGCGGCAGTAGCAGCAACAGCAATAACATAAATAGCAACAACATAATCAGTAACACCAGCAACATCCTAAGTATCAACTGCAGCCTAAACAGCAGCAACAGCAGCAATAACAACAGCATTAGTTGTTACATCAGCAAAGTAAACAGCATTTCAGGCAGGAACAATTAACCCTGTAGTTACAACCAAAGTATGGGAGACACTACCATTGTCTTACCTGTTACCATTGATCTTCTGCCCCTGAAGGGGTCGTCTCCGTTATTTTCTACAAAAAAAAATAGTTGATGTTATTTCACTTGTTTCTAGCATCTTTGGTATAATGAATGCTAAGCATTGTCTTTGTGATCATTGTATCTAGAAGCACCTTTAACGTCACCCAGAAATATCTAAAATGCTTTCCAGCATCAATCCGAGATAACATCAACGTCAACTTGTGAAATCAACGTCATCAGCAAGCAAGAACTTCAACTACAACCTCAACATTAATAACTTGCAACAAGGTGGCGACAAGAAAATCTTGTGAATGATTATCCTCACTGAGTATTTAAAATTCATTGTAAAAAAAAAAGGAGTGAAAACTTTCATTACTATGGTTTACGATCTCCCTTAATTAACACAGACAAATGCGAGTATGTCCGCACATACGCGTGTAGGCACGCAGGCACCACACACGCGCGCACGCACACACACACACACACACACACACACGAGATTCAAAAAAATGTTCACAGAGACAGAAGGGACTCCAGAAAGAAGACACAATATATACAACCGAAGAAGTGAAGAGGCTGCTATGCGAACTAGATACCTCAAAGGCGATGAGGCCGGGTAGCCTCTCTCCATGGGTCCTGAGAGACATCTATTGAAACAGGGCGACTACCTGAGATATGAAAGACAGGAAATGTAGTCCCAGTTTTTAAATAAGGAGACAGACACGAAGCATGAATAGTATGCAAAGTCATGGAGAAGAGTGGTGGAGCACCTAGAAAGGAATGAGCTTATCAACAACAGCCAGCACGGTTTCAGGGACTGGAAATCTTGTGTCACAAACCTACTGGAGTTCTATGACAGGGTGACAGCAGTAAGACAAGAGTAAGAGGGGTGGGTAGACTGCGTTTTCTTGCACTGCAATGGACCAGGGAATGCCTGTCAGGAAGACAACGAGTCATGGTATGTAGCGAGGTGTCAGAGTGGGCGCCTGTGACGAGCGGGTTTCCACAGGGGTCAGTCCTAGTACCGGTGCTGTTTCTAGTATTTGTGAACGACATGTGAACGACATGACGGAAGGAATAGACTCAGAAGTGTCCCTGTTTGCAGATGATGTGAAGTTGATGAGAAGAATTCAATCGGACGAGGACCAGGCAGTACTACCAAGGCATTCGGACAGGCTGCAGGCCTGGTTCAGCAACTGGCTCCTGGAGTTCAACCCCACCAAGAAGATCGCAGACGGAGTACAGTCTAGGGGGACAGAGACTACAAACCTCACTCAAGGAAAAGGATCTTGGGGTGAGTATAACACCAGGCACATCAGCCAAATAACTGCTGCAGCATATGGGCGCCTAGCAAACCTCAGAAAGACATTCCGACATACCAATAAGGAATGGTTCAGGACCCTGTACACTGTGTACGTTAGGCCTGTATTGGAGTATGCAGCACCAGTTTGAAATCCACACCTAGCCAAACACTTAAGGAAGCTAGAGAAAGTGGAAAGGTTTGCAACAAGATTAGTCACGGAGCTAAGGGGCATATCCTACGAGGAGAGGTTAAAGGAAATCGACCTGACGACACTGGAGGACAGGGGAGATGAGAGAGATATGATAACGATATATAAAATACTGAGAGGAATCGACAAGGTGGACAGAGACAGGATGTTCCAGAGATGGGACACAGCAACAAGGGATCACAGTTGGAAGTTGAATACTCAAATAAATCACAGGGATTTTAGGAAGTATTTCTTCAGTCACAGAGTTGTCAGGAAGTGGAATAGTCTGGGAAGTGATGTAATGGAGGCAGAATCAATTCATAGCTTTAAGAAGAGGTATGACAAAGCTCATGAAGCAGGAAGAGTGACCTAGTAGCGGCCAGTGAAGAGGCGGGGCCAGGAGCTGCGAATTGAGCCCTGCAACCACAACTAGGTGAGCACAACTAGGTGAGTACACACATCCCTCGGCTCCTATAACTACAAACGGGTAATCGCAAAGTAGATCTCGGAAGCGCGCACGCAAACCGCCAATTCATGAATGACATCGCAGAAGGTCAAATCAGTACGTAAACACGCTCATAAGGAAGAAGAAAACCGTGAGTAATGAGGCTGAAGAAGGATTTAGTATCCCTCACAGACGACGACAAAGGAATGAGGATAAACTGAATAGAAGATTTATGAGATTATTCATTGAGGAGCATAGTCTATGAGCCAGATAGGTGAGCTGGTGCCAGCTGGGGTGACGAATGCTCATACTGAATTTGTATTAGCCCTATGTCTGTAGTTTCAGAAAAATGTATGACAACATTGTGGAGGTCTTTGCCTTCTACAGTGAGTGTTGCTTTTTTCCTACGTATTCCTCCTTTTTATTATTATGTTGAATCCTGGGATGTCTCGTTTGTTTATATATATATATATATATATATATATATATATATATATATATATATATATATATATATATATATATATATATATTTCATTTTTTACGAGCTTGCCTCATTTCTGGAATTCTTTTTTTTCACGGTTTCAACATACTATTAGAAGGCATGTTACAATTTTTATGTATCATTTTACTGTATATGCTATATACAGTATATAATTTATATATGCTATTTATTTATTACTCTGTAGTAAAAAAATATCTGAAAATGAATGCAATATCCTTTATAATAATCCTGCATTAATGAATGGGCTGCTAATATGCTAAAATTATTACTTGAACAGTTTAAAGACAAAGATATAGCTTGTACTAATTCTAATGCTCGTATAAATTCCTAGGTACAATGTATTCTGCAGCTGTGTGTGACGGTGATGATACTTGTATGTGACAAGATTTACATGGGTGGAAAAACAAGTACCGAGAAATTAAAGCGATTATTTTTTTTATTTTACAAGCAGTGCTAGGAAGCTGTGTCAAAAAAAAAAATGGAAAAATGAGGCAGACTTGTTTTTGTTTTTGTAGCGATTCCTGCGAGAGATGAACGCAATTAGGCCTTTTAAAAAAAAAAAAAGTTTTTATTTCTTCTACTTTATTGTTCAAACATTCGCTCGCTCACTCATAACTCATTTTTACACTAACTTTTATATTTTAAGCGGAGATGATGATTCTCTTTTTCTAAGTGTAATGTCACTTCTGAACGATCGTCAAGGGAAATAAGCATTCTGGCTGCTTGTTAAATAGTCTCTCCGGTAAAATTGCTAGAGTATATTTTTCTAGTCTTGAGAGAAAGAGAAATTGCTAGAGTATATTATTCTCGTCTTGAGAGAAAGGAAAATAAGCCATTAAGGTAAATGTTGTGTGACACGAGAGGTGGAGATAATACTACATTAGATAAGAATATGTTCATCCACGCTATGTAGCTTTTAAAAGAATGGAAGTCGTTATGCAGTCTTCAGTTCTCAGTCTGGAAGAAGGAAAAAGACACTTTCAATTAATTTATTGACGTCCTCCATATTTATTTTTAACGTAGAAAAATTTGGGTTCTTGGATGAGGTTAGAAGAAGGGAGTAAACCATTGATTCCTGGACCTTTATTTAACGGATTTCGGGTATATGTAACAAAATTCGAGGGTCAGTTGATTATGAATCAAGTGACAAACTCTGTTGGTCACAAAAAATTTTCATTTTTGTTACGATTGTGGCAAAATTGTCTTTTTTATCCACTACGATCGCTTTCTCCCGACACTTGATCTCCCCCTTATCAAACCGATGAGTCGATGGTCTACCTCTTCACGTGAATCCCAAAGTTTTCGATCACTGAGCAAATTGGGAGTTTATGACTATGCCATAATTATAAGATGTGATTTAAGCCTTAGAACATGTTATTTAAACCGCTTTTGTCTGACGTTATGGCAGACAAAGCGTCTTAAATCACATCACCATCACAGTAAAATGACTTCTCACAGTATAACATGAGGACTACGTCAACTCCTAGAACAATGAATGGTAAACATTGCCTGTGTTGTAACCATTGTCTTTATAAGCACCTTTAACGTCGCCCAGCAATATCCAAAATGGTTTTCAGCATCAGTCCGAGACATCAACGTCAGCCTCTACCATCAATGTCAGCCATCAAAGCTTTCCTTAAACACAGAGACGACGTTCTGTTAAATAAGATGGCAATAATCCCTTTTCAAAATCTACAAAAACCACTCATACAGAAACTTATTAAATATCTCCGAAGTGAGACCCTTGATTGCCTGGAGAATGTTTCTTCCTATCGGCTTCAAACATTATTGATAATGTATTCTATAAGAAGAACGTTTCTCCCTATGTTTAGTCTTAGTAGGCACAAATTTGAAATTTTACTAAAATTTAAAAAAAATGAAATCGACTGTATTATATCAATTACTGGAATTTTGAAATTTGAATTTGGGCTGTATAAATACCAATTTATCAGTTTTGTTAAACGATTTTGCCAAATTA